CATTGAGTTGAATCCAACTCATAGCCACCCCGTAAGATGGAATAGAACTTCCCCACAAGGTTTCCAAAGGCTGTCATCTTTATGGAAGCTGGTCGCCATATCTTTTCCCTGCACAGCAGCTGGTGGGTTTGAACTGCTTACCTTTTGGTTAACAGCCCAGTGCTTAACCCCTGCACCACCAGGGCTCCTTACAGTACAAACAGAGGATCCAAAAAGCACCTAATGGTTTTATGGAGTTCAAGAGAAAGAGATCAGAATTTGGGGAGGTCAAAGGGGCCAGAAGCCGAGCCCTGGAGAGGAGAGGACTACACCACTTTCTCTGAAGAGCAACTGAGCAACGTAGAGCGACAGCTTCACTAGACATTCACACACTGACTCACTTCCAGATATCTAAGCAAGGAAACAACCGGAGGTAGGGACTGAGGTTTCTGCATAAGGATGCCATGCAATGTTCTTTTTCCAATAACAATTCAAAAATTGAAACATGAATGCCTGCAATACTGGAATTTATGTGCACATATCTCCAGTCTCCATTCAACACATATTTGTTGAGTGACTTCTCTGTGCCAGGCTCTCTGACACACCTTGGAAAGCCAATGATAAGCCTAACAAACCAGCCCAGTTATTCCAGAGGGAAAGACAGATCATCAAGTATTCCCACAAATACACCAGGTACATGCCAAGAGGAGTACAGGATGTTCACATACACGGACAATGACCTTACAATCAGAAAAAGAAAGCAATAAAGAGAGGAACACAAAACACTTTGAACTGGTCTATTATCAGGAAGTGAGCTGCCCTCCAATAGGGGAGTTCCTCTGAGGGCCAGAAATGACAATTTAGAAACTATTAGCTGATTAGACAGAGCGGTTAGGAGGATTGAAGACCTAACACAGGAGCACTCAGAACCACTTCCATCAGAATACAAAAGAGAAATTGGGAAGGCACACCTTTCTAATCACCTCGAGGAAGAAGGCGGAAGCAGTGTAAACGTTGCTCTCTACTCATGACAAAGGCACAGCCTCCTTGGCATGGTCTTAAGGAGTAACCCACTGCTGTGGAGTCCATTCTGACTCAGAGCCATCCCACAGGTTTTTAAGGTGGGTAGATTGCCTCATCTTCCTTCTACAGAGTAGATGATAGGTTTGAACCACTGACCTTCTGGTTAGCAGCCCAATGCTTTAGGCACTGGGCCACCAGAAGTCCTGATTCTTTAGGAGTAGTTGTGTCAAGTCACTAGCCAGTAAAACAGTTCTTGACAGAGTGGGACTCTGTTGTTAGCTGCTAGAATCAGTGACGTCTGGGGTACGGCTCCTCCCCACCCTCCTGTTTAGGAATCCCAGACCTGTCCTGGTGTAGGAGAGTGAACTTCCATCCACGGCTCTTAAAGAAGAGGTTATAAATTAATTGTGTGATTGAGGAAGTCCTGGGGAAGACAAAGGCTAGCCCCTTGTTCATGCTGGTTGGCTGTCACCATAGCAACCTTTCACTCAAGACCAAAGTTCAGAGGCTGTAAATCTTTCTGACCGTTTTCATGTTCATAGTTCAATGTTCATTAGCATAAACCTGGCTAGGAAGACCCAGGTTTTCCATTTTACAACCAAATATTAGACTCCATTTCTATTTACAGGACTCCAAATGGTGAGGGCCAAACCTATTTGGTGAAGCCTTTCTCTTCTCAGCTTCGTGGACAACTTTTCCTGAGAAAATGCCAACTAGAAAGAAGACGCTGATGTTCTTATCGAGCTTTCTCACAAGCTTTGGGTCTTTCGTCGTAACTTGTTCTATTCTTGGACTACCAGCTTGGGTCAGAAGCGAAATCACCATCAGTGACAACATTTCCAATGGAAGTGTGATCATCTCCTATGGGCTTTTCCGAGGTACAAGTAATCAGGACTTGAATGATGGACTTGCGGAGCTACCCAAAGATTTTGAAGGTAAATGAGAAAATAAAGTGAATGGATATGATGAGGCCTAATTAACTGGGAAAGGTGCTGTGGTGGTGCAGTGCCTAAGGCATGTGACTACCAACTAGAAGCTTGGTGGTTCAAACCCACCAGCCGCTCTGCGGAAGGAAGATGGGGCAAGCTACTTCGGTAAAAATTTACAGCCTTGGAAACTCAATGGGGGTCTTTAGGAGTTGGAATCGACTGGATGGCAGTGGGTAATTAACTGGGAGATACTCATATAACCCTATGTTTGGACCAGATAACCATTCAAACGTGCTTTCTTTGTGAGCTCTGAGTTAGGTGGTAGATGTGAGCAGACATCTTAGTTTTGAAAACTCTCCATCTCATTATTTTTGCTTCCTGGGCTCTGGTTTTGTCTTTAGTAAAATAGCGTAAATCGTCTTAGCAGTGGTTGGGTTTAAATAATACCTACCGAGTTTATTGACAAGCTTGGTAAAGTAGAGGGTCAGAGAAAAGGGGGCAGGCCCTCAACTGGATGGATGGACACAGGGGCTGCAACCATGGGCTTAATCCCAGCAAGGATTGTGAGGGTGGCACACACGGCCGGGCAGTGTTTTGTTCTGTTGTGCGTAGGGTTGCTATGAGTAAGAGGCAACTCAACAAGTTTATTAACAAGTAAATAATTAAGTGAAAATATGTAGTCATGCTATGGTATGTAGCAACCAATGAAAGTAACATTTTTGACGGTCATAACTGGAGTGCCAGTTGGAGCCACAGCCTCTGTCCAGATTCCATTGGCCGTATGTGTGTACGAAAACATAAAGTGGAGATCATGACCAAGTTCTTACTCCAGATCTCAAGTTCAGTCGTTAGCCAATGTGAAATTGCATTCTTATTTTCAAAGCATCTCATGTTATGGACTTGCTGTTCTGTTTTCATCAATTACATGAATAGTCTGCTTTCCAAGAACTTCTACTTTTTTTTTTCTTATTTCTTACATAATAATGCCCTACTTTCAAAATATACAAACTCACTGCCGTCAAGTCAATTGCGACTCATAGTGATCCCCTCGTTGGGTTTCTGAGGCAGTATCTCTTTAAATGGGTGAGAAACAAAGTCATTAGGAATGAGAGCTTGATTTATCATTGTATTTGATACTTGAATATGTGTCTTAAAACACACACACATACACACACACAGACACATAAATTATTTAAAACTGAATTTGAATGATTCAGTGCCAAAGAATCCATAGACACAAAACACGCCAAGTTCAGTGCACTTTGCTTTGGACAGGTGTTGCACTCAGGATTTAGACAGGCATTACCAAGTCCTAGGTGATCACTGCAGTCCCTGCAAATGGTTAGTGTGTTTGGCTGCTAATTAGAGACTTGGCAGCTCCAGCCCACATGGGGCACCTCAGCAGAAAGGCTAGTGATCCACTTGGGAAAATCAGCCCTGTGAACCTGTGAGCACAGCTGTACTCTGACTCACTCGGGGTCACCGTGAGTTGGCATCAACTCGATGGCAGTTGCTTGGTTGGTCACTGGTTATATAATCATGGCCTCCTCACTTGACAAGATGCGTCATCTCCTACCTGCACCAATGGACTATTTAGCCCTGGGCAATGCATAAAGGGAGGGCCCTGGTGGTGCAGCAGTTAGTCATTTGGCTGCTAACTGAAAGTTGGGACAAGACGGCAACCTGCTTCTGTAAAGATTGATAACCTGGGAGACAACTCTATGGGGTGGTTCTGTAGGTCTCTATAAGTCTGGGCCGACTTGACAGCAATGGATTTGGGGCTGAAGAGGTACATAAAGGTAGGGGTTTGCGTTGTAGACATCAGGTCTGAATTGACAGCTTCTTTATGGTTTTGTTAGTGAAATGACTTCTTTAAATCCAACGCAGCATGGTAGTACTTCCAGATTATCAATTTCAGACGTTAGCAAGAGCAGCGTCTGCGGGGTGTTTCTGCCACGTCGCACCCTCCTGTGTTTCTGACTCAGCATCACAGACGTCAAGGGATATGGGCTTCACAGCAACTGGAGACCAGGACTCTCAAAGACTTTTCCACACTCCCCCTTATGAAACCAGTGTGTTCCACACCAAAACGTCTTTCAGAAAGCCCAGAATTTAAAAATTCTAATTTTAAGAAATTAAAAAGTCACAATTTTTGTAATGAGCTAAAACCTGAGGGTTGTTTGGTTTCCACTCCACGTCTATTTGGAACCTGTTGGGATTTGAGATTAATGAGTTCAGTGGAAGGCCTGTCTGCGTCCAGAGGAACACCCCCTGGGATCGGGAGGGTCAGCCCTGGCATCCAAGCCAAGCCAGTGGTGGAGTCGAGCAGAGTGCTTGAAAGAGACAGTAACACTCACAAATTCTTTTTGTGCGAAAGTCAGGGAAAGTCCCAAAGGGGACAGGACCAAGTGGGCCAATGAGGCAAAATACTTGCATTTGCTTTGTTTGACTCTTGACTTTTCTGCTTCATTGCCCTGGAGCCTCATTCTGGCCTTCTTGAGTCGCGAGCCAGCCTCTGGCCCTGTGGCAACATGGGCCACTACAATCAGGGAGGGTGTGGACAGCTGCTCTGATTGGCATCTGCTAGGGACCACTCAGAGCTGGTGTTGCTGTTGTGTGCCATCGAGTCAATTTTGGCTCAGTGACCCCACGTGACAGTAGAATGGCCCCAGAGGTTTTCCTAGGTGGTAATCTTTACGGAAGCAGCCTGACACATCTGTTCCCACAGAGCCGGCAGTGTGTGATCCACCAACCTCTCTGTTAGCAGCCAAACACTTAACCACTGTACCACCAGGACACTCTCTGAGCCTAAAAAACCAAAACCAAAACCATTGCCCTTGAATCAATTCCAATTCATAGTGACCCGTACAGGACAGAGTAGAAGTGCCCCACAGGGTTTCCATGGCTATGTTCTTTATAGAAACAGACCCCCACATCTTTCTCCCATGGAATGGCTGGGGAGTTCAAACTGCCAACCTTTTGACTGGCAGCCCAGTGCTTTAACCACTACACCACCAGAGCTCCTTCTCTCCAAGCCTAGGGGATCTTTATTGTAAATTATCTTTAGTAATCAGTGATCTTGGAAAACTTGTCAACCATCTTTTTAGATAGGGGAAGTAGTGTTGATGGAAAATGTATCATGTGGCGTTCAGCTGCTTAAGACCCAGGGCTCTCTGTAGTGCAGTGAGATGTGGGCATGCTCCTATTGGCTTTTCCTCTCCACACTGGGCTCATTTCAGAACAGAAGCTAAGCATTGGCAGTGCAACTAAGCCTCTGTACCTACTGCTGTCTGGCTGGCTGCAGACTTTGCCATCTCAGAAGTAACCAGGCCAGCCTCTAGGCTAGGGAGAGGTGACACCAAAGTCTCCGAAGAGTAAGGAATATGACAGAGCTCTGCTGTCTTCTTGCAGATTTGTTATGTTGTGACAGTTTTGGCTGCAGAGTCTGAAATGAAAGAGCAGGATGAAGTGACAATGGTTGATTACAAAGTGCCAAAATAATCAGCCAGTGACCAGCCAATCAGGAGGTGAAGTAATCAGTCGGACCCGAGAAGTGGATTCTCCCGGGCGTCTCCAGGTTGCTTGGCCAGCTCAGGCCAAAGAGGGAGTTTTCCAGCTTCATCTAGGTGCATTCCAGTTTGGCAAACATCTGGGTGAAGAGTGACAGGTCCTACATGGCAACCAGTAGGCATGCTCCTTCGCCGCTCCACCAGTTCTAGGTATTTGAAGTCCATTCAAAAACCTTTCTGAGCAGCTGCTCTGTGAGGGGGGACTTGAATATGGGGCAGAATTGCACAGAGTCCCCGGCCTTGGTGGGCTCTCTATCAAGTCAGGGAGGAATACCTTGCATCAGTGAATCCCACCCCCCAACACACACACTGAGTGCAGGGGCAGAGGCATACACAGGTGAGAACAAGAGTGGGTGCAGGTGTGTGCAAGGTCGTTGGAGCAGAACCTTGCAACATGAGTTGCTAGAAGAAATCCCTGGGTGGTGCAAAGAGTTAACACACTTGGCTGCTAACCAAAGGGTTGGGAGTTTGAGTCCACCCAGAAGTGTCTTGGAAGATAGGCCTGGTGATCCACTTTCAAAAATTCAGCCATTGAAAATGCTATGGAGGACAGTTCTACTCTGACACACATAAGGTCACCTGGAGTCAGAATCAACTCAGAGCCAATGGTTTAGAGGAACGTTGGTTCACAGCCTTGTGCGTGTCTATCTTCTCTTCAGTTCTAGACCTTCAGTGCTGCATGAACACGGCCCCTAAAGGTATTCCCTCAACTTTGTTTGTAAAAAATGTGGTCAGGGACATAACAAAGGACATTTTCTTATACTGTAATAATTGGAAAACGAATCCTTTGTAGGAAGATGTGGAATTCCTGTAAATGTGATTTTGAATATTCCGAGCCTATGTGCTGACAGGAACACGTGCTTTACAGGAAGGTTTTGACAGGATAGGTTTTTATTAAAGATATTTGTGTTCACACAACATGGGTCTCTCTGTTCTTGGGCACAAGGACAGTGTGTAGGTGGGTGGTCGTTGAGCCATTTCTTGACCTTCAGCAGTGCCTCTGGGACTATGGGCTGAAGCAGACTCACCTAGGCTGTTTGTTGAAGACGGAGAGGGGTCAAATACAGGTGTTACTCTTACAAACAGCCTGGGTAAGTCAGAATCTTGGCAGTGAGGTTCCAACAGTCCTAGTTTTGAAAACCTTCCCAGGTCATCCCAGTACAGGGTGACTCTAATCATGGTTAAAAACCAGAGCTCTTACCACGGCCAAGGGCTGGTTGACTGCTTCCAGGTGGTGGGTATGGTTTGAAGACCTTTGGTTCTGGCCTGCTGGAAGAGGTAACAATCTACAGGAGAAAGGGCTTGGAGCTGCCTTGTAAATGTCCCCAGGCGGGTCCAGAGAGAGGCTTAGTGGTGGGTGCCTGTCAGTGACTCACTGGGGTTAACGACTGACAGACAAGCAGTTAGTTTCTCCCTAGTCTCACTCCCCCTGCCCAC